TGCTCTGTCCCGGCTCTGGGATCCCTTCACGAAACCTTTCTCCCAACATGTAATTTTAAATACAAAACTCATATATCAAGGAGGGAGGGCGAGGCAGAGGGGGTGGGAAGGCTTATGAATGAAAAGGGGTCAGCTCAGGAATCAATCGCGGTGACACCCAAAATAAATCATATTACGTCTTTGCTAAGTCATTGGTGTTTCCTCAGACACGGCAGAAATTTAGCAGGCGTTCGAGAGGGGTTTGTGCGAGAGTAACGCGGAAAGGCGAGTCCGGGGTGGGTTTGGGGGGGTGGCGGGGGGCAGGGGGCTAACGGGCAGCGAAGGGGCCACCCCCCGGAGACCCCGAGGAAAGCGTTGGAGTCCGGGAAACTTGCGTCTGGTGGCCCGATATTTGATTTCGGATTAAGAGCGTCAGAGCGAGGCTTGCTTTCGATTTCGGGCTGTAAAAAGAAATAAAATGAAATAAAGAAAGCCCTCGACAGATGTTTTCGAAATTGCTGTTCGAAGATCTGGATTGTCTCTCCCCTCTGTAACAAAGGGGGGTCGATTTTACGGCTACCTTTTTATTCCTAATAATACAGCCAGCCTTTTTCCCTACCAAACGAGCAGACGTTTCAAACCTGCCAGCATCTCACTGAGGGAAGGAGTAGGTTTATATTGAAAATCGAAGTAGATTGTAGTGAAAAGATTCAAGTGAACAGTATTTAACACCTTCCCATAAATAAGAGGAAGCGCCTTGCTCGCTGCAAACGAGCTGCCTTCGCATCCTTGCCTGGGAGTCCTCACCCCCCACCCCATCGCGCTGCCCTCTCTCACCGATTCCTCTCAAAGTCCCAGAGCCATGAGGAGGGAAAGAAAGCGCAGGCACAGCCCAAGTACCACAGAAGGCTATTCATTATCTTTAAGTTTATTTAATATCTCCAGCTTCTGGAACATACTCAGCGGCAGCGTTGGCGCTGCCAGACGTTGTCTATCAAAGCGCCATTTGTTCCAGTGCTTTACATATTTCCCCTCTCGCCTCCTCCCCCTCGCAATCCTGAATACAGGCTTGTTGGGGGCCGGCGGGAGCAGGGAATCAGATGGTCGGGGCTGGCCCACGCCAAGAGCCCTGAGCGCTGCCGGTCCCCGGGGCCGCTCTGCGCCGGTCTGGTTCGGATCAAGGATCTGTGCACCCCCTTTGCCTCTCCAGAGAAGGGAGATTCTGATTCCACTTCAAAAATACGTGCGCGCAGTCTCTGCGCAAATAGATCTTGCAGCGGATTTCCACCAACACACACGCCCTTTCCGTGGGGAAGGGAGGAGGGGAAGGGAGAGGCGAAGGGGAGGGGACAAGAAGGGACATCGTCTTCTGCAGGGTTCTCCCCTTGCAAGGGGCTGGGAGGGGGTGGCCTCCCCCGTGGCACACAGCGCCGGGGTGGGACGGGGGCGGGGAAGGGGCTTCCGCGTACCCCCCAACGTAAACCCTGACACCTTATCAATACAAATCTCTAACCAGGGCCCTTCTGCAGATCATAATGACTTCTCAAAGTTGCTGCAGGTCTAGAAAGCATGCCAGTCACAGCCACAGATCAATTCTACACCCACGGAAAGTGACTTAATAAATGGAACCTCGCCAGTTATTATCCTTGCTAACAGCAGGCCCCTTCTTATTTGTCCTAATTAGCGAGACTGAAATGTCGGAGGAAAGAAGGGGAATATTCAATAAAATCTAAATTATTGAATGACTGTAAGATTTTGCCATTAGTTCAGCCATTCTTTACCTTCTTCAAAATGTCAAACAAATGGGGAAGGCATATTTGCAACCCTGCCCTTCTGTTCTGTGCAACTGGAGGGCATATATTAAGCATATTAAGCGTATTCAGTTCTTGATCGTTGTCAAAACACTGCAATTGCCTCGCGATTATTAACCTCGAAATATGCAAATGAGATAGGCTCACACGTGTTGTAGGGATGCTAAAGTAATATTTATCTTGTGCTGATCTAGTCTGGGGATGTGTTTGCTAAAGAGCTACTTGAAGCCCTGAAGATGTTGAACCAGCCCGTCAGAGCCACGGGACGGCTTGAGGCTGAAAACCTGTGAAGGAAACGCGGGCGAGACAGCGAGGCAGGAGCTGAGCCTTTGAAGTGTGAGATGGGAAGAGTTAACTTCTTCTGGGGAATCACCCCCCACCTTCCTCCTGAGCTGCCGGTGAACATCCCTCCCCTGACGGTTTTCCCAGCCGAGTTGTACCATCCTTTTCCAGCACTTCACTGCATCCCAGTCCTCACCGGTGGGAGCTTGAGGGATGCTACTAATGCTCCACCACCGTCACAGGAAGGAGCTGCCAGAAGGGACCGTCTTCCGCTCGCCATCCCGGCAGCTCCCGTATTCATCCCAGCCCTACCGGTTACCTTTTCTTCTCTTTATTACACCTGTGAGGGGAAAACACGGTGCCGGCTCCGGAGAAACTAACGACCAAGTGAATTCAGTTCTCAGACCCAGCGGGATTCTGCTGAAGCTAACGCTGGCTGATATTAATCATGCTGACCTACTAATATTAGCAACATTGATTAAGTTGTTAATACATTCATGTTAATTAATACATTTCTTTAAGGCGGAGGAGGGAGAGGGCATGGTGGAGCCAGCCCACCTCAGGCCTGCCAGGTGCTGGGTTTGAATGAAACCCAAAGTGTTCACCCTCCCCGGACCTGCCCTGAGCTCAGGTCCGACCAGGCACGGGCAAAGATCCCTCAGGGGCGCCGAGCTGTCCTAGGGGAAGACAAGGACCCCCTGGGGGGAGTCGTCCGGGCTGAGGAGCCCGTAGGGTCTGTCCTTCACGAGAAAGTGCAGGGCTGTGCAGAGGAGCAGCAAATAAAGGCCTCTCCACTCTCACTGAATAGAAAGACTTAAATGAACCTTATTAGTGAGAAGACCCGGTTTACAGCCATACCTCTGCCCCGGGGACCACCTAGAAATAGCTAATGCGATTCCCAAGGCAACAGGACAGGTTCCCCAGAGCCATCGGAGGAGGGATTTGATCTTTTGGTGCAGGGTCATGCCGGATTTGAGGGGTTTCTGCCACCCTAACAAGGAAAAAAGTATCACAAGAAGAATTTCTCACCCAAATTTTCCACACTAAGTGTTGTTCAGGAGGCCGAGAACAAAAAACGTGTCCCTCTCCCTGCCTAAGCAGGCTGCCCTCCCCTCCGGGCGGTGCTGACCACCTGTGGGCCGTCCCGTCCAGGGACCCTCAGGGCACCGGGCCGGAGCCCATCACGGTGCCGGTCCCCACCCCGGACCGGGCCGGGCTGCTGCTCCCGCCCTGCTGCCGAGAGCAGCAGATAAGAATTATTTTATCTTATCTTAATTGCCTTGTATTTATTCTGCAGCTCGGAGATAGCCCGGCGCTTGTAACTCCTGAAAAGATTCCTTCTGCTTTTGTTGTTGTTGACTCTCAAAATTCGAAGTATTTCCCCATATATTATTTAATTTCCCCTCCTCTGTTTTTAGCCCCAAATATAGCTTGGTAGGCTATGATCTAACCAAGACACATGCCGGGACTATAAATTTCTCTGACAATTTCTAGGGACAAGTCCTTCTTGGTGATAGCTCAAGTCCGCAGCCAAACACGCCCCCCCGGCGTCAGCAGCGCGTCTTATAAATCACCTCGCCAGGAGCCAGGAGTGACATTTCTTACGCACGACACAAACTTTCTCCGCGGAGAGTTATATTTAAAGCCAAAACAAAGCATCTAAAGACTGCGAGCACTCTGGAGCCTTTGGAAATGCCTCATTCCTTCTGTGTCGCCTGCACAGAAAGCTCGTCGGGGAAAGATTTCTTATCAGAGGTATTGGCACAAAGGGCTGTCGAAGGGCCCTGTGCTTGTCAGGAAAGTTGTTTAGGAGAAAAAACCCCAACACATCTCAGGGAAAGGCGAAATCTCCTCTCACTCTTCCGCCCAGGCTGCAGCAGCCCCGAGTTTCGTAGGGCCGCTTTATGCAGCTAAAAGGGAAAAACTGCTCTCAAGAAAAGGTTTATTTTAGCAACATGTCTTCATCGGGTGGGGACAAAGGGAGTGGTTTTCCACAGAAGGCCAACATCCAGTAGTGAGGGGTGTGCGGGGTGTCCTCCCAGGTACAGCGGGCCGGTGAGCTCCCCCAAGTTTTGTTACCCCAAGCCCCTCTGCCCCGGGGTGAATGGAGGGGCCAAGGGCACGGGATGCATGTGGTGGGCATGAGGGGTCCTCCCGCCACCAAGAGCTCGGTGGAGAAACGACTTTCTGCTGGTGCTGACCTCTCGTATCTGCTGGGGTTCACACAGGCTGGGTTTGAGGCGGGAGCTCCTGAAGAACTTCAGGCCCGCAGCAGCTCTGGGGGAGTGCGAAGCTGCTCAGTGTGGAGCTGCACACTCAGTGCTCTGGGTGACTTTCCCT